GAGGGCGGAGCATTAAAAATCGCCCTTTGGAGCCCTCTCTGGGCTCTTCTGGGTGATCGCGCCATCGCGATGCTCTCTGGGCCCCGTCGGGGCGTTGCGGCGCTTGCTCGGGGGCCGCCCGGGAGCCCCGGAGGGCTTCTCGGGGCCGTCGTGGAGGGCGTCTGCGAGGAGGGCCCCAACGCTTGCCCCCCCCCCCCCCCTCCTGTCTGGCGTTTTCTAAATCGGCCCGGGCTCTCTCGAGCCATCGCGCGGCCGCTTTCAGGCTTCAAGTGCGCGTCGGAAGCGGAAGGCGAGAAGGCAACAATCACCGATGACCTTCAGGTATCTGAAGGATTCGCTCTCTGGGGGGGGGTCTCGATGGGGGCTCCGAGAGCGCCGCGGGCCGCCTCGCGGCCCTCGCGTGGCCTTCGAGGCGCGCGCGAAACAACATTCGACCATCGGCGGCGATATTGAGCCGCCGTGGACGCCATCTGGGAGCATCGCAGGCCCAGGGGCTTGTGAAACAGGAAACCAAGTCATCGCTGGACCTCCCTAGCCCAACAGGGCTGACGGGATGCGCAATGCATGCGGTGCAACGTTTGCAGCCTCACCTGCGCGCTGGAATCTGCGTGGCCCGAGTTACGCGGTGCAGTCTATGCGGGGTAATCTTCGTGGCCCAGCACATGTGGCGCAAGCTGCGCGGTTCAATGCGTACGAAGCAACGACGTGAAATCTACGCGGTACAATATATCTAGCGCACGCAACGCGATGCAATCTACCACGTGGGTTACATCCATGACGTTGGGTTCTTCGGGCCATGCTGGGGGTCCTCTTGGGCCGTCTTGGGGGCCTCTTGGGCTGTCTTGAGGCCGTCTTGGCATCATCTTGAGCCGTCTAGGAGGCATCTTGGATCAGATTGGCGGTTGGCCTGCCTCGGCCGTCTTGGAAGCTCGGGAGCGCGGATCCATCGGAGTTCATTGGGTGTCGTGGCCTCGGGAGCGCGGACGGTGGCCTCGTAATCGCAGACCCATGTAATTTGTCTCGGGAATCGCGACCTCGGGAGCACGGACCCAAGGATGAGGAGGTTGGTCGGGGGCCGAGCGTACCGAGGCACGTAACGAACGCAGGGGGGGATGCTCCTGGAGTAGGAGAAGGTGAGAGAGAGAGAGAGAGAAAGAAACAAAAATGGATGACAGGCATGCTGATGTTGATGATGATGAAGTCGCCATCCCGACTGGTCGCGCAATCATCCCACCCGCCCACGCGCGACTTGGCTTGCAAGACCCATGCGGCGGCAAGTGCGACGACGGCTTAGCGCTGGCTGGCGCATCGGCGCGGCTGTGCTAGCGTTCGAAGGTTCGCGCGCAGAACGGCCAGCTAGTTTGGCGCTGACCGTCGGGCGCTTCCCGGCGCGCCTCTCAGGCCGCGCTGGCGCGCGAGCTCTGCAGCGCGCGTCGGCGACCCGGGCGGCCGACGCCGGCGACGACGACGCCGACGACGACGACGACGACGACGATCGAGCCTTGGCGGCGGGATGCGACTACGGCTGGATCGAATTCTAGCAGGATGTTATACATGATGGGTCGAGCCCCAATAGAATTCGATTCGGGCTTGATCGAGCCCTGGCATGATTTTATTTGAGACGGGTTGAGCCCTACTTGGGTACAGTCTTGGTAACATTCCATCGGTCTTGGATCCATCCTTGATATGGTCCTTCTAGAACGGAACCTAGCCGTCAATGGATTCTACTTGGTCTGGACTGGGCCTCTGTAGGGCGAACTAGAGCTGGACCCATTTCTATTGAGATGATGTTAGAGCTGGAACGAGCCCTAGTCGGAGTCCATCAGAGCTGGGCCGAGCCCTAGCAAGATTCTGAGTGAGTAGGATCGACCATTCGGTGCGAACGAAGCGCGATGGAACTTGAGCAGGATTCGATTCAAGCTAGACCGAGCCTTCGTAGGGTTGGACCCAAACTGGATCCAGTCCTACAAGAATGTTGTTATAGCTATATCCAACTTCAGCGAGATTTTATTTGAGCTGGATCGACCCCGAGTGAGACTCCGTTAGAGCTGGATTGAGGCATCGTAGGGTCCCAGTGAAGCTGGGTCGGACCTGGTAGGATCCCATTCGAGTTGAGTCCAACCTTACTAGGATTGCATTAAAGATGGAATAAGCCTCAATAGGACCCCACTAGAGGTACATCAAACTGGACTTAGTCCGAGTAGGGTTATGCGAAAGCTGGACCAGTCCTGTGTAGGATCTCATTGGACGTCGATCGAACACTGATAGGATTCATAAAAGCTGGATCAAGCCATCGTACACATATCCGATGAGAGCGGTAGACCCAGCCATAGCAGCATTCTGTCAAAGCCGGCGCCTTGCGCGGGCGCGGGCGACAGGTGCGCTGCCGCTGTTGACGGACACCCCCGGCTATGTGTGGAGCGGGAGGGGCGGGGGGAGGTTTCGCGATTATGGCCCCCCCCCCTCTTGGTTGTGTCTTGAGGCGAGTGGGGGGGGGGCCTGGTTGTTGCCCCCCTTTTTTGTATAAGATGTTAATTCTAGCGATGGTCGATCGCGCTTCCTCTATGATTCCGACATGCGCGCGCGAGGACCTGCTTGGTCGCATTTCCTGAAGATGTTGAAACAATCGTTGTTGAGTAAAAATCGTATGCGCGCACAGATTCTTGAAAACAGAATGTTGCAAACTTGTTGTTTGTATGTTTTCGTGGAATTCATCATTGTGCGAAACTTGATTGAGTGTGTGGGGGGGGGAATTTCAGCATGCGCGCTCGAGTACGCGCGCGTGCCGAGTTTTGCTCATGTGTGGGGACGGATTCCCGAAAGAAATCCGCGGGCCCCCTTGCGGGGCCACCAGGCTGTAGGCTGGGAATGTGCTGCTCCCTGTGCCAGTTGCAGCTTCCAGCTTCCACTGTTACAGTTCTGCTTCTTGCTGCTTACTGTTCCTTGTTGATGAACGCGCGAGGGGGGGGGGCCCAAACCAGCAGAGCTACCACGCCCTGGGAGGGTGTTCGGAATTCCTGGGGAGGTGAAAATTGACACCGCCCACGCAGATCCGCAAGGTCAGGGTCCAACAACGTAATAAATGTGCCACGTGTTTAAACTTCAGTGGTACCCCTCACGCAGATCGGCGGGGTCAGGGCCCCAAAACATAAGGGATTTGCCACATTTCTCTAATTCGGCGGCACCGCTCACGCAAATCGGCGGGGTCAGGGTCCAAAAACACAAGGGATGTGTCATATTTTTGAAAGTCGGTGGCACCCCTCACGCAGGTCGGCGGGGTCAGGGTCAAAAAACACAAGGGATGCACCACATTTCTGAAATTTTGTGGCACCCCTCGTGCAGATCGGCAAGGTCAGGGTCCAAAAACACAGGGGACGTGCAACATTTCTCAAAATCGGTGGCACCCCTCACGCAAATCGGTGGGGCCAGGGCCCAAAAACACAAGGGAGTTGCCACATTTCTCGAATTCGGTGGCACCCCTGACGCAAATCGGCATTTATATTGGTCCTCGCGTGAAGTCCCTACATTATTTCACGTCAGCGTCCAGACATCCCAGCATAGCTCTGGCAAGTCTCATTCTAAGAGAGGGGGGCCGGCGGCATGGGGGCGAAGCCCTTACGGATATTGTGTTACATTTGAGTGGGCGCGCATACCAAGATTTGAGGGATGGGTTGGGGGCGATACCGGATCTAGCTGGGGCGGATTTGTTTCATATTTCTGATAAGCGATCGGCCAGAATCATTTGTAAATTGCGCTATCCGAGGTAGCGTTGATAATCCCAGGGTGGTAAGCCGAATTTCTATTTACGCAACAGAAAGACGAGGTTCGCACAATCAAAGTTGCGATCAAAATGCGGCGGCGACGGGCGGCGACGTGCAACCACAAGCCAGCCGGACCGGCGCAAAGGCCCACACGGACGGCGGCGACGGGCGGCGACGTGCCACCACGAGCCGGCGGGACCGGCGTACAGGCCAAGACGGGTAGCGGCGACGGGCGGCGGCGGGCCACCACAAGCCAGCCAGACCAGCGCACAGGCGACGGGCGGCGGCGACGAGCCAGGCAGCTTGGAACACAGAAGCAATGCGTTTCGCGCGTGCCAGCTCGAGGAGAGCACGCCCCCGGATCGGATCTTCGATCCCGGGCGTCTGCCGCCGCTGCTGCTCCTCTGGGGAGCTGGGGCGCCGTGTCCAGGCGCGCGCTGGCAGCGTCTGGCCTGGCGGCATGCCCTCGCTGGATCAGAGATGGGGCCCCGTGATCAGACGGCGATGAGAGGCGATCAGAGGATCGCCGGCGGTCGTATCAAACGGCGATCAGAGGATCGCGACGCATCGGCGTTGCGGCTTGATGTGGAACCTGATTTTCTCCGCGCCGACGTCGCCGATACATCGCCCACTTTGCTGTTGTATCTTCGGTGCGTCGAGGATGCGGCGCGACCCTCCAACCCCATCTACGTGGACCCCATTGAGGTGGCCTCTGTGGATGGGGCCCCGATCCCAGGTTGAATTTGCGTTGTTTGAGGCCCGTCGTTTGGAAGGCACCATCCTTCGGGGCCCCATCTTTGAGCCGCCAAGCGTCATCGACCTGGGCCGCCTCCTTCCCCATCGCCCACCTGGCGCAGGGTGGCGATGCTGAAAGGTGTAATGAGCGGGGAGGTCGATAAGGATTGCATGCTGTGGCGGTGAATATGAGAGCACCTTCGCAAGGATGGCGCTGCGCATGATGATGCGAAATTGTGTATATGCTCATTAGCTCATTACGTCCAGGGCCGGGATTGCTAATGTCAAGTATTTTCTTTGTGTCGGCCCACGGGCATAGGAACTCGTCATGATGCCGCTACTGTTCAGGAAAGCAAGACGCGTTGAGAAGATGTGACACAGATGAGTGGTTGCATTCTGGCGTGTGATTCGCAATGGGTTCGCGCAGTTGTTCGTGCTGGCAGTACTGGACCTCCGATGTTGTAAGCGGTATGTGTTTGTCGCTATTTCCTTTCGCTGCAGCAGGACCATCAAATTCAGAAACGCCCGCCTTCTGCCGCACGCGTGAGGCCACGCCGCTATTGCTTTATACGAAAAATGGAACAGGCCTACGCCGCACCCGTCAGCACTCCAGCGTCCCCAAGGTTGTTTTGGGGGAGCGACAAAGAGGAGAAGAAGGGTCTGGGGTGTGAGGGGGAGAAGGAGGGCGAAACAGAGGAGGAGGAGACGGAGGAGGAGGGAAGGTGGGAGGAGCACGAGTTGGAGAAGGAAGAGAGGGACTGGAGAGAAGGGGGAAGAAGGAGAGGGAGAGCAGAAAGACGAGGCTGGTGGGTTTCATTGGGAGTACTCATGAAGTAGACCCCCCCTTGGGAGGTATTGCGGATTGAATTACGCTGGATCCTCCCCTGGTTTCGGGAGGGCGTCTTCCTGAATCACGCCCGTAATAGGGTACGCATGCAGACTTTTGATCGCTTGCCCTGAAGTGTGGGTCTTGCGATGTAGGACACTTTTCTGGAAATGCGTCACGTGCGGTTGGGTCATGGTAGATCGTCGTTCCGACGCGTACATACCAGGATATGAAATTTGCACACATAAGTTTGTTCGGTCGCACGCAGTTGGGACGGGAAGCCGCACGAGCGCTCGGAGCCGCACGCCAGGCGAAGCGAGTTACCGTTGGACTGGTGAAGCTCCCAGATGCACCATGGAAGCCTGAAAGTGAAAAGGGGGGCACCGCCGAGCCCTCACGGGGCAGAGGCGACGGGCAGCGGTCAGTGGCAGGGAGCAGCGGGCAGCAGCGCCAAACGGGCGCGGGCGGGAAGGGCCCCGCAGGCGACGGCGGACAGGACAGGAAGTCGGGCGAGATCCTTAGGAGCGCACGAGCACCAATTCGTTGGCATTGCAGCATGACCAGCGACGCAAGCCGGAACCCGGCCGCCGGAACTGGACGCGCATCTGGACCACAAGGGGCCAGCAAGACAAGCAAAACAAACAAAGGCCAAGCAAAGGCAGAGAGGGAAACACACACACACACACTCACGCACACACACACACACACACACACACACACACACACACGCGCGCACACACACACAAACGCACATGTGGAAGCATGTGGCGGGGTGGCTTTGGGGCATCTTGGGGGCGGTTTCGGGGTGGCCTTGGGGCAGCTTGGGGGCCTCTCGAGCCTGATTTAGGCCTGGGGGGCTCCTGGAGCAGCTGGGGGCACGAAATGTCGGTCCGTGCTCACCCTCTGGGGTTTCTGTAGGGGCTCTCTTGGGCCGCTTTGGGTGCCTATTTGGCACTATTGGAGCCCTCTTGGCCGTCTGTAACTCTCTTGGGGGCCTCTGGGGCTGTCATAGGGGCGATCTTGGGGGCCTTTAGTGCCGCCTTGGAGCATCGAAAACCCGACAAGGCGAGATCGCTAACATTGTTCCAAGACCATTGCACATCACTGATGTTGGTCTCTCGGGGCCTTCCTGAGGGAGCCCCTTGGATCCCTCCTAGGGCCTTTTGGGGCCGTCTGGAGACCATCTTGAGCGTCTTGGAGCGATCTTTCGATGACACTGGGGGCCCCCCTTGGCTCTGCACAGGTCATGCGAGAACACTCCTGAGGCACACTGGAAGGCCAGGGCCCCTTGATATTCATTCAGTCAGGATTGGGGACGAAGAATTCCAAGGGTCTTGAGGGCACTTCAACTCGTGCCTCAGGACACGCTGGCGGATAATGCTGCTGATGGGTGGAATGAGTGAGCAGGCAGGGGGGGTTCAGAAGGAATAAGCACAGGGTTGTGGTGGAGGCTCCACGATGAGAAACCTCTGCGCGGTTCGGCGAGCAAGACCATTGCCGCGACCGACCGACGCACGGCTTCACAGCCTTTCTGACATGCGTCACTCCTTTTTGACGCTGGACTACTCGTCGCATTAATCCCCCCATCATCATCTGGCCGCTCTTCACTCTGACTGACGTTCGCCTGGATTATCGCAGTTTGACAAGGACTTGCAGTCTCGTGCGGTACCGCCGCCACCGCAGGGGGGCGTGTTTCATAACGCAGGCGAAGAGAAGGAGGAGGAGGAGGTGGAGGTGGAGAGGAGTTATACGCGTATGGGGGAAGGGTGATAAGGATAATAACAATACGTAGCACCCCGCAGATGCGGATCAGAGTGAGGGGGCGGTGGGGACGTCGGCAGTCTGCGAGACTCTGGAGAAGCCTGCCGCAGGCGCCAAAGTTTACCAAATTATGCAACGAGTCCGCCGCAGGCGCCGATCTTTTCTTCGAACCAATGTGGATCGGTCGCGGAGTTGGCCGCGGGTGAGCCACGGGTGGGCCGCGGGTGGGTCGCGGATGGGTCGCGGATGGATCGCGGGGTGGGTCGCGGGTGGGTCGCGGGTTTGGTCGGGTCGCGGGGTGGATCGCGGGGTGGGTCGCCGGGTGGGTCGCGGGGTGTGTCGCGGGTGGGTCGCGGGGTGGGTCGCGGGGTGGGTCGCGGGGGGGTCGCGGGGGGGACAACGACAAACAACAACAACAGCAACAACAACAACCACCACAACAACAACAACAGCAACACCAACATCAACAACAACAGCATTCACAACGACAACGACAACGACGACGACAACGTAACAAGCATAATCCTCACCAGGGAGTCTCACTTCAGCCACGCACCCAGGGACAATGAATGACCGTTCGGCCCCCTCTGATCGTCGCCTCCCTCCATTTCGTCAGCCTGGTCATTCGTGATTGGCAAATTGACGAGCGTGTAGTTACATGGTCGGGCAGAGCGGTCCAGATAACCAACCTGCGTAGTGGTCATTGTCGTATGAAGCCGCTACCTCCGAGGCTTCTTCCCGTAGGCGCATGGCTGCCGCCAGCCCCCCCATGCTCCAAATCGCTGTCGTTCTCGTTCTCACATTCAGAACGTATTGTTCGATGTGCTTGATGAGTGCATGTATATGCATACATATTCATATACCTTTACCTATACATACGTACACATATACATCCATACATACATGCATGTATAACTGTGAATTCCCCAAACACTGCTTGCACGTAGGGGTTCTCATTTCTTTTATCAGGAACTGGGCCTGACTGGCAGTCTGGCAGCTCCATGCTCGCAGTCGCCGCCCCGTCGCCGCCTCGTCGCCGCCCGTCGTCTGGGCCTGGCTGGCGGTCTGGCGGCTCGTCCTCGCCTTCGCCGCCCAGTCGCCGCCTTCGTCGCCTCCTGTCGTCTGGGACGGGTTGGCGGTCTGGCGGCTCCGCGCTCGCCGTCGCCGCCCCGTCGCCGACCGTCGTCTAGGCCTTGTTGGCGGTCTGGCAGCTCCATGCTCGCAGTCGCCGCCCCGTCGCCGCCTCGTCGCCGCCCGTCGTCTGGGCCTGGCTGGCGGTCTGGCGGTTCTGTGCTCGCTGTCGCCGCCCCGTCGCCGCCCGTCGTTTGGGCCTGGCTGGCGGTCTGGCGGCCCCGTGGTCGCCGTCGCCGCCCCGTCGTCGCCCTCGATTCTCGTTTCTAAAACGAGAATATGGACTCTACCCCACCCCCCCGGCGTTATCCGCCCCCCTTTCGGGTATGTGAATCATAAATGATTATGGCCACATGTCCATCCTAAATATGAATTTACACTATCCAAGGGGGGCCAGTATCGGCCCCCTCTGAGGTGCCCTTGTAAAAAAAACAATACGCGGTGACATTTTTTGTTCTAACACAAGACTTGTCCATTAATCCTTTGCAAAAAATGGGACGAAGTGCGCACGCGCGCGTCGTCGCGCGCGCATGCCGAAATCCTTCAAAAACCTTTGTTGCCAGAAAGATTTCGCAATCGAGTTTCCAAACAGCACACAAAAACACAGGGTTTCGCAACACTGATGTGCTAAAATAACTTACGCGCGAGCTCTTGCGAAATCTTAAGAAACCATAGGTTTTTCAAGAGTTTCACAAAATGCTACCAAACAGGCTTCGCGCGCTCGCATGTCGAAATCTGTCGAACGCCCTTGCGCGTGTGTCGTCGCGAGAATCCTCTGCAACAAAATGAGACGAAGTGCAAACGCGCGCGTCGTCGCGCGCGTATGCCGAAATATTTCAAGGCCCATCGGTTTCGGAAGGATTTCAAAATCGTGTGTCCAAAAAACATACAAAAACAAAAGGTTTCGCAACACGGAGTTTCAACAAAAGCGTGCGCGCGCGCTCTTGCGTCGTCGTCGTCGTCGTCGCGGTCACCCCTCCTCCCGCGTCGTCGTCGTCGTCGTCGCCCACGTCGTCCTCTGTCTTTCCTCGGGTTCGTCGTCGTCGTCCTCTTTGGCGTCGTGGTCGTTTCCGTCGTCGTTGTCGCCGTGGTCGTCCTTCCTCCTCCCTCGTCGTCGTCCGTCGTCGGCGTCTCGTCGTCGTCCCTCCTATTTCGTCGCCGTCGTCGTCGTCGTTGTCGTCGTCGTCGTCGTCGTCCCTCCTCCCTCGTCGTTGTCGTCGTCGGCGTCGCCGTCCTTCCTCCTTCTTCGTCGTTCGCGTCGTCGCCGTCCTCCCTCCTCCCCGTCGTTGTCGTCGTTGTCGTCGTTGTCGCCGTCGTCGTCCTCCCTCCTCCCTCGTCGTCGTCTTCGTTGGCGACGTCGTCGTCGTCTTCGTCGTCGTCGTCGTCGTCGGCGTCGTCGTCTTCGTCGTCGTCGACGTCGGCGTCGGCGTCGTCGCCGCCGTCGTCGTCGTCGTCGGCGTCGTTGACGTCGTCGTCGTCGTCGGCGTCGTCATCGTCGTCGTCGTTGTCATCGTCGTCGTCGGCGTCGGCGTCGGCGTCGTCGTCGTCAGTGTCGTCGTCGTCGTCGTTGTCGGCGTCGTCGAAGTCGTTGGAGACGTCGTCACTGTCGTCGTAGTCGTTGTCGGCGGCGTCGTCGTCGTTGTCGCTGTCGTCGTTGGCGTCGCTGTCGTTGCCACGTGCAATTTGGTACCCACCGTCACGGTCTTAAAAGATTTTGCAAACCAAGTTGCGGGTGGGCGGGTGGGATGTTTGCGCGAGCAGTGGAGTGGACAATTCATTGCGAACAGAAATTATCACCTCCCATATATTGTACCGCATGGATTGCGCCG